CGAGTGACTCACTGGTATCTGAGATGTTGCAGGAGCTGGCACCTTTCATAAGGCCTTGCAGGTAAAGCAGCTTGTGGGGAGGGGAAAGCTTTGTGGCCTTTCCAGCCATTACAGCACAGACCTAGCCTATGTGCTGACCAAGATCAGAGATTTCTTCCTCCAGATTCCCCCAAACATTGCCTTTTCCTCTGACTCAGGAGGCTCCATTGAAACTTTCCTGCTTGCTCTCCAAGTTGAGGGAATAGGGGGAAACAAGGAGGGGCGGGTGCCTTTGAAAAAAATTACCCCCCAACTCTATGCCATTTGTTCTGGCCTGCTCTCAGTGAAGGAAACTTCCATGTGGCCTGCCCAGCCGTCTCTGAGGGGATCTTGACAACACATTGCCTGGGAGCCAGGTTCACTGTGGCCTGTTGTCTGCCTACCATTTTAGAGGGGAGCTGCCATCCTCCAAGCCATCCTCAGAAAGCCCAAAGCAGGGGATTGAGTTTAGCAGGTCTGAGGAGAAAACCCTCAAAGCCAGTGATGAAACAGAGAGCTGTTTAGTTACAAATCTTTTAAAACTCTCATGAAAGCTGCACCCCAAAGGGACCCAGAGGCTGTAGCATGAGCTGCTCAGATGCAAAGAATTCTACAATGCTCTTCTTGAGGGACTGCCGGACACCAGGATCACAGCCAAGAGCTGGCTTGTCCCCAGTTGCATGGATACAGGGAGCATCCCACTGTGAAGACTGGCTGCCTGGGAGGAAGCAAAGGGGAACAATTTTCACTTTTTTCACTGGTGGAGAAACTGAGGCAGAGAGGTTGAGTGACTTGTGCAAGCTTGCACAGGAAGCTTTTGTCAGAGCTGGGATGCGAAACCAGGGTTCCTGCCTCCCTGTCCTGTTACTGATAACAGGGCATTAAAGTAGTAAGAATTTTCTGGTGACCCAGTGGCTAAGAAAAAACAACCTGTCAGGAGACACTCATTGGATAGAAACTCAGATACTCTGTAACCTTGATTGTAGACTTGGACTACCCTAAAAAAAATCCCTTTTCTATCAGGAGGCCTTTAAAACTTTGGATAAAATTTTGAAAAGCACCTATGTGTCTTAGGAGCTTCTGTCCCATTTTCAAAAATGACTTAGATAAGTAAATAGGACTCAGACTCCTATCTCCCCACTGAGTTCTGAACTGTAAAAAGTACATCATATAATGTAGAGACACACAGCTCCCGAATTACTAGTTCACAGCTGCGGCACACTGCACCCGTAGCTGCAAGGCCGAAGCGGCCTACACCCCCACGCCTGTAATTAAAAAATTTATTAACTAACCTAATCATCACCCTCGCTGCTCGCTTTCACGTGCACAAAATATGACCTTGTTAAGTCATGTTAATAAGTATTGTATACTCCTCCTATACACAAAAATTCAACCACTTATAAGTGTTGTAAATAAAAAAATAAAATAATAAAAACCCCAGTAAAAAGTCCCTGAAAAACTTTTTCAGCTACCACAACCTGGCGCTCTGTCTCCTTCCTTTTTCGTCGCCACAATATAACCACATCATTTGGCTTCACCCAGTTTAATACCTACTTCAGCATAGTATCTTATTAACAAGAACTTCAAGCATACAATATAAATCCTTGCTCCATATTAATGAATGTAAGGTTAAGAAAGTTTCTCTTTATATGTCATTTTAACCAAGACCACTAGGTGGAAGTGTTCAGCAAGTTTAACATTTATCTAGCCTGCATTTCTAGTTTCATGCCACCTGCTGCTAATATTCTCAGATTCTAAATTATTCCCGAACTAATTGCCTTGTAATTTTAGTCAAATTCAGATCAAGATTGAGAGTATTTCTAACAGGTATGCTCTGTCTAGTTCAATTATAAGGTACTGGGCTCACTGGAGGAATAATTGACCTGTGTTATGCAGGAGGTCAGATAGCTAAACATTGCTCAGTTTTTTCAGGTTGCTGACCCCTTATTTGAAGACAAGAATTTTCATAACCCCCTTACATTTGCTATAAAAGTAAGAGTAAAAATATATCAGTGGTAACAACGGTAAGCCTATATAATTTGTGTGTTTTGAAAAGTGGACAGATAAAACTTTAACTTCAAAGGCAAGCTTGTGCAGGAAGTAAGGGAGTGAGATTTTCTTTGTTTTAGATTGTAATAAAATTTCTAACACCTTCTAGCCCCCTGATTGCCTTTCATGGCTTCCCTGGTGGTTGCAATCCATTGATTGAGAACCAATGGACTAGATAATCAGAATGGTTCCTTTTAATAATGATAATCTTAACAGAGCTTTCCAGTTTCAAGTCTATCCCATGGTATAACTGCTGATATAACTAACAGAAGTGGGTGTTTTACTGGTTATTGCTAAGTGGTCCAAAAATCTTTCCATTAATTTATGTTCTGATCAGGGTGTGCATGTGAAAGGAAATGGGCATGGTGATTACTATAATTTTCTGTCAAAGGTCTGTGCACTTAAGCTAGTGGGATGAGGCATACAGAGGAGAGCTGCAGTATTGCTGGTTGTGGGGGTTTTCACTTCTCTTTACTATGGAGATATTTACTGGTGCTCCCTCACAGTCAGAGGTTAACTGAAAACACAAAATGTTATCAAGCAAGTGTGTTTCTAGTGAAGTTGTGCCGGAATTAGTTCTTGGTCTTTTGCTATTTAATAATTTTTACTAATGACTTGGAAGAAAACATAAAATTATTACGGATCAAGTTTGCAGATGACAAAGATTGGGGGAGTGGTAAATAACGAAGAGGCCACTGATACAGAGTGATCTGGATCACCTGGTAAGCTGGGCATAAGCAAACAATGTGCAGTTCAATATAGCTTAATGCATAAAAGAACTGGCCATACTTACAGGATCCTGGGAAGCAGCAACTCTGAAAAAGACTTGGCAATAATGGTAGATAAGCACAAGAACATGAGCTCCCAATGTGATATTGTGGCAAAAAGGACCAAAGCAATCCTTGGATAATAGGGGATTATCGAGTAGGGATGGTATGTTACCTCTGTATTTAGCATTGGTGTAACTGCTGCTGGAATACTATGTCCACTTTTGGTATCCACACTTTAAAAAGGATGTTGAAAAATTGAAGAGAATTAAAAAAGAGTAACAGGAATGATTAAAGGATTGGAAAACATGCCTTATATGAGAGACTGAAGGAGTTCAATCTGTTTAGTTTATCAAAGAGAACGTTAAGAGGTGACTTGATCATGGTACATAAGTACCTATATAGGGAATATATTTAATAGAGGGCTTGCAGACAAAGGGATAACAAAATCCAATGTCTGGATATTAAAGCCAGACAAATTCAGACTAGGAATAAGGTGCAATTTTTTAAGGGTTGTAGTGAGTTCCCCATCACTGTAAATTTTTAAATCAAGATTGGTTAGATAAGCTCTAGTTCAATCACAACAATTGGCTGTGAAGCAGGAATTAATTCAGAGAAGTCCTATGGCCTGTGTTAGGCAGGAGATCAGAGGAGGTAAGCATAATGGTCCCTTCTGCCCTTAACATACAAACATGAATCTATGTTCTTTTGAAGTCCCAGAGTCTCCTGCTTGTTTAACAGAAGAGTAAAGATGAAGGCTGGCTAGCCTCCCAGCCAGGGTTACAAATGAAAAGGAAATGCTTGTAATTGTACATTTTCATGAGGTGGGATGAGGATGGGGGCTTCAGACACTTACACATAATTCAAAGCTTTGAGAAGTGCAAGATGGCTGGTGTGCAGAATGCTAAATACTGTGTGTGTGCAGTGCACAAGATGGGGCAGGTACCTACCTCATACAAAGACGTGTGCAGGAATTTAAATTTGACTGCTTTTAGAGCAGCAGTCAGGGGCTGGGGCGGCGAACAGTGGTCAGCCGCTGGGGTTGGAGTAGTGGTTGGGCTGGGTCTGAGGCCAAAGCAGCGGCCGGGTCCGGGGCTGGAGCAGAGTTCGGAGCTGGGGTAGCGAACGGCGGTCAGCAGCATAGTTCCACTGATTTCAATAGTACGGAGTCACAGACTTCAATGAAACTATGCAGATTCACACCAATAAAGGATACTGCCCATGGTGTCTAGCTTCAAAGTACAAAGAGAAAGTAACAGCATGGGCCCAAAATTCCATAGTGAAAGACCATTTACACCAGGAGAAGCAGGGGGAATAAAACAGAGAGAAAGATAAAAGGGGTTTACAAATATTATTTATTATTTTTTGTATTCAAATAGTACCTCGAAGCCCCAATTAAGACTGGGACCACACTGTGCAAGGCACTGTACATATGCATAGTAAGAGGCAGTCCCTGCCCAAAGAGCTCACAATCTAAATAGATAGACAGACAAAAGTGGGAGAAAGGGAGATTTATTAAAGGAAGTATTATTATTCCCATTTTATAGAGGGGGAACTGAGTGAGAGAGAGATTAAGGTACATCTGCACTGCAGTCAGACGTGATTTTCCTATGGTCACATGGAAAGTCTGTAGCCAAGCAAGGAACTGAACCCAGATCAGAGTCCCAATCTAGTGCCTCAGGCACAAAGCCAAGCTTCTTTTCTGTCTGAAAACACTGCGGGGAAGAAAGGAAAGCTGTGCCTCCCCTGGACCAGTCACCCTTGATAGTCACATAAATCTTGCCACTTTTTTTTAATCTTATCTTGAAAAGTGATTTACATATACAATTAACAGTTTTAAATATGGAATATAAATGTCAAGAGAGACTTGAGTGGTCTTGTGGCTCTGAATACCTGACAATGCAACAGAAAGGAAGACAAATCAGTAAATGAAAAGCAAAATGGTTCATACAGAAAGTATGAACCCATGCATCTCAAATAAATATTTACAAACATGGTAGAAGAGACTGAAGGCAGGCCAAGGTGTAGAGTTCTTTGTGGAGAAGTTGCGGCTAATGATATCATGATGTCATAAGAGTCACAAAGATCTTTAGAAAGAAAACATGATGAAGATGAAGATACCAACTTCATAATTCCAGAGGAAAAGCAGTTCAGTTTTGTAGTAAAAAAAAAAAAATTCTAATGTAATTCATTACTGTTTCTGGAATGTTAAGTATTACATTCATTATGTCATTATACTGCAGTAACTTGACTACAATAGTATACATACCATGGCTATTGTTTAAATTCATCATATTGGAGGAGTTCCAGTACAGTTTGACATATCAATGGGTCATGCAATAGCTATGTTTATGGTATGTGGGTCACAGAACTGAAAAGATTGGGAGTCATTAATCTACCAGGTTTATTATCAAAGTGTTAATTACGCTATATTTTACCCCCCTCCCTACTTCAAAACCCTCACAAACCATTACATTTTCTCCCACCCCTTTCCCAGACATCTTGAAACTTATTTTCCACTTCTTGAACTTGGTCCATAATGAGGCAAACCAATCTAAGTGGGTGGGTGTTTGGTTAGCAGAAGTAAGCAAAGTGCAGTTCTAATCAGCTCTGTGTCTGGGCCATAGTAACAAGATACCAAGGATTCTGCCTTACCTCACAACTGCCACCAATATAACAGTTAGGACTCTACACAGATACTTCCTAGGTATATCTAAATATAAACATTGAGTAAAGTTGAATGTAGCAGGGTCAAAGGTGACAGCTTATGAACTCCCATAGTTAAGGGTAGAACCCTGGTTTCTTTTTGCAACTAATGTTTAAAAAGAAGGCTGTTTCAGTTGCTATATATTTACATCATTATATTCTGTGAATATTTTAAAGCATTATTAACAAATTATTAAACAATGGATTCTTTATCTTTGTCTGGAGATAGCTGACAACCTATAGGTACATCACATTTGGAAGAGTCTGCCGTCTTTACCTGGAGGTTGTCATTAGTATCCCCAGTGACACTGTTATAGGATGGAGGGAAAGATGTTGAGGACACAGTCTCGGACTTGTCTAGATTCCTCCCATAATTTTCATTCATCATGAATGCAATGAGACCTTCCTTCTGTGAAGCATCTTCAAGGATGTCACCATCACAAGTTCTGTGATATAAGAGAGTGGCCTGCTTCATGGACCGTTGAATCAAATGACTCCTATAGGCCCTCTGGATAATAATGGCAGAAACCTCCTCTTCTTTGTGTCTGAGCGTGGTTGTGATTGGTTCATGAAAAAACCTGGATGGATTGGCAGCCATAAACTTTTCCTCTGTCTGTTCTTTTAGTTTGTCCATTTCCCCAGATTCTCCTAGCACCCTTTTGGTAAAAGCAAACAAAATATCCAAACAGTGGATCCTATCTCCGCTGGCCAAGGGAAGGTCCATGGCTATGAGTTTAATTTTGTTTGGTTTTGCTATGCGTAAAGGTTCTGCCAAAGCATCTGCAAAGTCTGAAAGTACAGAATACTCAATAAATTGAGTTGCTTCAGGATCAAACTTCTCCCAGATTTTATAAAACATATCAAAGTCATCTTCACCCACAGGAACTGTACTTTCCTCAGTGGCAACGTTGAAGTTCTCTAAAATAACAGCTATATACATGTTTACAACAATGAGAAATGATATAATGATGTAACTTACAAAGAAAATAATACCCACAACAGGTTTACCACATTCTCCCACAACATCTCGTATGTTTGGATCACAAAACGGAGGTTCAGTGTTTAAAATAGGACTGAGAAGACCATCCCAGCCAGCAGATGTTGTCATTTGAAAGAGACAGAGCATGCTATTAGCAAAGGTTTGGAAGTTGAACATGTCATCAATCCCACTCTCCCACTGAACATAAGCAAAGTTAGCCATGCCAAAAATGGCGTAAATAAACATGACCAGAAAAAGTAAGAGGCCAATGTTGAACAAAGCAGGAAGGGACATCATTAAGGCAAAAAGGAGAGTTCTAATTCCTTTGGCAGCTTGGACAAGTCTTAGTATTCGTCCAATCTGAGCCAACCGAATGACTCTGAAGAGAGTAGGTGAGAAGTAATTTTCAAATGCATTAACAATGTGAGAAAGCAGAGTGCCTAAAGAAAAAAAAAGGATCAATCAGTTAGAATTTCTAATTTCTTCTGAATTAGTAACTGAAAGAAATAATATTATTGGTAAAACAGGTATCTCCCTGACATTAATGCGTTGATGATCTAGCATTGACAACTCTTACAGGAAAACTTACACATTTTAAAAAAAGATTAATGTCTTATCTGTAAAACTTTAGAAGTTAAAAAAAATAACACACCTTTATGGAATTATTGTGCCCACAAAAACTGTGAGCTGCTGCACAAGGAAAACACACATGTATACATAAGTAGGTGTTTTATGTACAGCATTTTGCACAGCCACTGGGTGTGTAGGTTATGTGACTGTGTTTTAACATTTGGTCCTAAAGGTTGAAAAAAATCAAAGTTCAAATAACAAACCAAAACATGACACCAGAATCATAGGCACTCAGATGCCTAGATGAGAACTATGTAAGCAAGATAGACAGAAACAGATAAAGTAAATATAAGTGTAATCCATGCTAAGTGTAATCCATGC